TAAGTTAGCACAGAACGCGATTGAATAGCTCTAGAGATATAGGAAAGCGAGAATTAGTGGCTTTTGTTTTGACGATGTCTCTCTAGCAGAACACGCATGTATGGAGATGGTGCTACAGCCCGAGACGAAGTCACACTAAATCGTGGGGAGCTGGACGATGGCACGAATCCGACCATCAACAATTCGCGCAAAAATTGAAGTAATGTTTGACAGTACGTCAATTACATGGGAAGTTCGAGCAGTCCGTGGTTTGATCTTCTTCTTCCGAATGGAATTGTCGTGCTTTTTTGCCAGTCCTTGCGCGCCTTCTTCAACAACGACTTGATCGCAGGAATTCGTCAACCGTTCTGCAAAGTACCAGCACCGTGTGTCACAGGTTGGCTACCGTCTGCTGTAGCTTTCGCCTGACTGCATCTTTTTGAGAGCCGCTTCCGTCTCGTCTCGTCTCTGTTATCTTCTAAACGGGACCATATGCCGGTGAGATGGAAAGGATGGGCGAGTGCATATATACCAAGGTTGAAAAATTCCCGAAGAAGTCGCTCCGTTGTCCAATCGCTCTCTTTCGGCCCATCAGAAGACAGCCAGTCTCATGGTCCTCGGTCTGACGATGCCGGGCCTTGGCAAGTATGAAGGTGTTGTTCTCCATCGTGTCAATCCAGTTCCTCACTGATATCTTTAGGCGGCTTTCGCAGCAGCCACGCCTTCTTCGCCTGTACAATTCGCTTCTACATACGCTAATGATCAGCTGACTCAAAAGCATGATAGCGCCTCTCCTTCTCGCAAACCGCTTCTTTGACACTGTCTGTCCAGAGCCACGGCTGTACTGGGCCTAGCAGGCCTGTTATGCCGAGCTCGGAACGAGTGACCTCATGTGTGGCTTTGACAGCACTTCCCAAGTCTCGTTGACAGTCGTCACAGTCGGTAGTCGGACATGAAAAATCACAGCTGCCTCATTCCCTTTCGAACATCACCACTGTTTCTTTCGGGACCACATCGCTCGACCTGTTTCGACCTAGGCGTTGCGATGTTCGACCTACAGATTAGTGTGCGGCTTTGCGTGGAACCGTCTCGTGCGGCCTGGTTACGTGACATCTCCAACTTTTGTGCAGTCCTGTTATGAAACCCTGTAATGAGATGGATAGAGGGCAGCGGCTGCCAAAGCATCGAAACGTGCAAAAAACGTAGCCAGGAGACGGCTTTTTCAAGGGGAAGGGACTCCGGGGTGGGTGAGCTACTTACAATCGGTGAAAAGCTGGAATGTGCGAAGTCACAACGGCCAGAGTGCCATGCGGACGAGAGAGTGCAGAGAAAAAGAGAAGATCGACGCGTTCTGAGAAATTGAGTTCAGGTTGTCCGTAGACTGAACGGCAACGTCTTTGCGTCTGTGACGAGCTCTTGGTGTGGAGGTCACAAGGACAAAGTAAAAGTTCTGGTACCCGCGAGAGAAGCGATGGAGTGGGAGTTGCGTCCACAATGACGAACTTATGAGCCTCTGCACATGCTGGGATTAGCTCCCCATCGGCATTGCGTGAACCATAAACGAATGACTTTGGCCGTCTTTCATAGTGCGTACGTGCCCGTTCAAGACAGCGCCCGTGATCTTTCCTTGGCAGGTTGTATGGCTCAGAATTGTTACAACATGTGACAAGTAAGCATTAATCAAAGAAAAAGTAAACAAAAA